TAATTTTCTCCCCGTTCCGTTCGCCAACCTTGATCTACCAGTAGGCAACCTTCAAGTCCATCGACGAGAAGTGTCAGTAGGGGCGCAGAAGGTCTACAAAACCGCTGATACGGGGGCGCGGCTATACATCTTTCTTCGTTGCAGCATTGCGTCGACAATAGTTCACTAAAAATCTCAGTGTTTTGTCCTTCCTCTTTACGAGCTCGACAGGTGAAGCCCATGGACTGCTTGATGGCTGGTTGATGTCATCGGCGAGCATTTTCTGAACCTGTTTGGGATGACTTCTCTCTCTTTTAATAAGACACGGTACGGTGACTAGAGGACCGGATGCAAGTTGCGTCGGTAACAATGCAATGTTTCGCCACTAGTGTTCGGCAAACTCTCGACAACGTAGCAGAACAGTCACTGTAGTCAACGAGCAGCTCAACCAATTGCCGGCGTTTTGAAGTTGAAAGCTCAGGGTCGATGTCGAGTTGCCGCGGCGACGTGCTCTTGTGTTGTGACGACGAAGTTTCCTCAGAGAATACGGTGACCACTGCTGGAGCTTAAAGCTACTTGACGTGGCCCACGGAGGTACCCGTCGTTAGGTACTGCGGCTCCTCTCGAACGTTCATCACGAGAACAGTTGTACGTCCTTTTTGCAGATTCGTTAGACCTTGTTCGACATCAATTCCTTTTTAAATGTGAACTTGGACGTTGCCTTCCAGAAGAGCTTCACCTCAAATGGCTGTGTCGGTTATGACTGTTACGAAAACATTTGACCGCGGCGGCAGGTTCACATGGTCAGCAATAACTCGGATCGCGGTTGTCGTCGTGTTGGGTTCCACCGGCGGCAGAACAGGCTTTCGAATCGTAAATTGTTTTGCCTCAAGGTCGATGACGGCGCCGTACTCACACAGAAAGTCCATTCCGACGATAAGGTTCCTCGCGCAGCCTTGCAGGAAGACGAATTTCACAGGGCACGTCTCACCGTAAAATTTCGACGCGAGCAGAGCACATCTCGCCTGGTGTGATGAGGTGGAAATTTTAGGTTCATTCCTCGGCATCGTCTCTTTTCGCAGGCGGCGGGACAGCCTCCCTCCCATTCAAGACTGAGTTGTCTTCTTTGGTGTTCACAGGTGCCGATGCATCGTGGCCTTCGATAACCACGTTTAGGTTGTTGGGCACCGTTGCACGAGCCTCGTTGCGCGGGTGGCGCCGGGAGAGTGGGAGCGCTCCTGCGTTCCTGGAGCCTTTTCGGTCGCCTTCGGCAACACCACCTCCAGGCGTTGCCGCATTTAGTTTTCCCGGCGAGATAGGGGGCAGGCTGCCCCGCCGAGAGCGGCGGAAGGCCGAAAGCGCAAGTCGGGGCGAAGGCGAACGGGAACTTCGTGGCCTCGGCACAGGGGACGTGGGTCGTCAAAGGTATTCCGCGATGTCCCTTGGCTGCTTCACAAGGTGGGGTCGCGGGTCTCTCGGCGACAAACCTCGCAGGCCCAATTATCGGTATGGACGTGTCCGGTAGACGTGGTCGGCCTCGCCGCAGTGAAAACACAGAGGTCGTCGATAGGCTGTGCGCCATAAATCCGTCTTCCTAGGCGCTGGCTGTTCGGAACGGACGAGCTGGGGCTGCTTTTCCCGGCGTCGGAATGTCCGCGACGCTGGTAGCTCACGTCAAAGCGGCGTCGAATACTGTCGGGCGGCTGGCGCCGGTCTTCGAACTATTACGGTGGAGATCAGGGTAGGCTCCTCGCGTGCTGGTATTGTTGCGACCGAACGGGGTCCGTGGTGGTGGAGAAGCGACTCGAGCCAGGCACCGGACTAGAGCTCAGCGGGGACAACGATGAGCCGCGATCTCTCTCGAAAAGTACACTGTTTATTTACATGATGTACAGTTACTTCAAGAACAGAGAAGACATTTGCTTGTCGAAGTTCGCTCATTTTAAACACTTCGTTCTCCCTAGGTCCGTAGGTAGGGACCCCCACATCGGCGGATAGCCGGCCAATCACAGAAACGTGTCCCGTTCAAACACCGACCCACATTCCATTATTACGCACGTTCAGCCGCCGTAAACACTTCACTGTCGGTTTAGACGGCGCCGAGAGTCTCACCAAAATACCGGCTCGTTGGAATCCACGCAGCAGGTCAAAACATCGTCCGGGGCTGACACGTAACGTTCCGACATTCAACTCTTCGTGTCTACACGTTGGATGAAGGCGTCCTGATGATTTCATCGCCCCGGATCGTGCCCTGATGTTTCGGTCGTGAAACCTGAGGTGTTGTTTTCACTCTAATTCGGAGGCTATATCACGGCGCCCGTCAGGTGCGTTCGCTGGGCGGGCGTGCTTCCGAAGCGACGATGGCGCGAGGCTCGCTGAGTCAGATGACCTTGAACCCACAGGAGGCGCTCGACGGAAACAAACGGCCAGATGCAGACATTAGGAAAATGGTCCGGGGCCATTCATAACAGTGTACACTGGCAGGAGCCTCCGGTTGGACTGCCCGTTTCACTTCTTCGCAGACAACTTCCGCTATCGACCGCGAAGCCGGCTGGTGGCCAGTAGGCAGGAGCTTCCTGAGCTCTTCCTGGACGACGTCGCGAATGATCTCGCAAATGCCTTGGATTCTGGAGCCAAATTTTACTTAATTAGCCAGCTCATCGTTACAATTTCTTTGTCGTTCTGACCGTATAACTCACTGGCATAAATCGCATAATTGTAGTTTTCACGGTTCTTTTTTTTAACAAGCCTGCAAAGCTTAGGAAAACGGCATACAGATCCATTTAATATTAACTTTACGTCATCTTATCGGGACGCACACATTTCAAACATCAAAAGTATCGTTTCTTCCTTCGACAACCAAATTTCGTAAGAGCTACTTCGCGCAGCACATCGACAAATGCGTAAGAACGTCCTTTTTTTGTCTTTATGTGGCAACGAGCATTGTAACGCGTTACTTACAAGTATGCCGAACACCCAGCTGACTCGGGCTTATTATTGATTATTGTAGTCATCCACAACCATAGCATCCTCTATACTCACAAAGCCTGTCAGTTCGACGACGGAGCCATACAGTAACCAGTCGCAGATTTGGAGCGCGAGGATCTGGTAGCGCAGAGCATCAAAGAGCCATTTCTGGGGGAACCTGGACGTCAGCGCACAGCTATTGCAGCGGCGAGGACCCAAAAGACTCGCTCAGGAGAAATGTGTCTCGGCGTCTCACTGTAGCGGGGTGCCAGTCACGTGGCTCTCCTCTCATCCGTTGTCTGCCGCTCCACCTTTTCCATTTCGGCGGCCACTTCTCGTGTCGATCTGCAAGGCTTTGTCAATATATAGGAGGCTTTGCCACAGCATAAAAGTGGCATGGGCGTGGAAAGTCGCGAGCGTCTCATTATTGCACCGTACAGCCAATAAGATTGTGGTGTCCCCTGATGAAAACGCAGAGGAGCAGATCACGAAGCAATACCGGTGAACATAATAAACAATACCCAGCGTTTCTTACGATGCCAGTGACTATGGTACGAAGATTTGTAAAAGCGAAATAATCAATATGTTAAATTGCATGGAGTAGCTGCGTACTTTAACGAAACGTACGGGCCGCCACTCTGATTCTGCCAGGAGATTACATTTAAAGCCAGTGACTAAAACACTTCTTTCAATATTCGAAGCGCCTCCTCGCGGCGTACACGTTAGCATTGTGGGAATCGGTCGGCAGCAGAAATTCATACGCGCTCCGCTCCCGGCCAGCAAGTTCTCAGAATGCAACGCGCGCGGTGACGGAGTCATGGAAGTATAGTTTATTGGGAGACTTGTGTGAGCTGTCACAGTTTCGAAAGTCAGTTCCAGAGATAAGAGTTTGGGCTTGATCGTATGTAAGAGGTTATAAAACGTTTCCCTCATAATTGGTGCAGACATTCATCTTGAAAATTAAATTTGGGATATTTTGCAGTGCACCCTATATACGGTATAATATACGGTGTACACCTAAAGCGCTTTACCAGATTTCCTTTCCTTTCCTACGAGTAAAAGAGCCTGCTTAAAACGATGACGATGCATCTTCCGCAACAGGGGGCCACCTTGCTCGATCCAGAACAGCCACTAACTTTCCGTAGATATACTCATTGTAATAGTAATATTTATTTTTGCTTCAGAAGAGCCGAGGCAACACAGCGAGTAGCCCACACCAAGAAAGCCTCCGATGCCACACGTAATGATGATGCGATGAGATAGTCCACAAATACCAGAAGGGTGACGACGATACTTAAATATTAACTGCACTAAAGCAGAGACGTTCCCATTGAGAAAGGATTCGCGAGTCGAAGTTTGCTTTCGGGTCGCAAGTTTGGTTTTTCTCACTTCTGGCGGTTTGGTTTGTCACGCTGTTTCATATCTGTCTTCCTCTGCGAAGTCGGGACTCGGCTTGAAGAAAACAAAATATATCTGCTGTTTGTTTCTGTTCACACAAGCGGTTCAAACGTTTTTGTTTTTGTTTTTTTTAGATATCCACAAGATACTTTGGCTTCCGCATATACACAAATCCCTGTACTTTGACTTCCGAGCTAATCCGTGCCGCGACCTGCTACGAGATAAACATTGCCGCTCCGCGCTTTATGACGGATCATTAAGCAATCATTCAGGGTCAACATAGTTTAACAGCTTGATTACCATTGAGCGAGTCTCTTACATGCTTGGCATGGTACATGCAATATGCAAGAGTGAACAAAGGAGGAAGGTTGAGGGAGACCCGTGATGAAATGGCTGGGCACCGGGGTACCTCTTTACAAACATCTAAATCTTAAAATAACTCTTCGCTCACAAAGGCTTTCCTTGACTCGCTTAACCATGCCGACATGAAGGTCAGCAGAGTTGTCGGAGCGATGCTCTTTGTTCTTATCTCGTCCGCCCCACTGTTGGCGGTTTATAATGCAGATTGCACTATTGCTTTGAATTACAACCCGGTCCGCGAGAGCCTAGCACGTCAGTAAGTACTGTGTGTGTATCTTCCCCCAAACGTGAGAGCCATGGTGTCCAAAAGAAGCCGCCTCTGGATAACGTTAGGCCAGACATTGAACCTGAATCTTGGATCCTTCGGGATGGTGAGTAGGTCCACAAATGTCAAACTTCTTTTCTGCGCGTTAATCCGCCTCAACCCAAAGCACCTCAACAAATGAGTCATCATCGTTGAGGAGGGCAGAGACCAGTGTGGCTGCTAACTTTCGAATGTCATTTCAAATTCGGTACATCACTCTCGATCTTGTGTCAGTATAACTTGGGAAAATTCGTAAGCAACAGCCCCAGCGAGCCAGTCACACCGTCAGACTCAGCTAAGCGACGAGGCACACAATCGGTGTGCACTCCGGCATGAGAGAGGAGCCGTAATTTTCGCTTCATAGTTTTTAATGGCTTGTGGGCGCCGTAGCGTTCGCCCCTTGCCGAGTCGCGCTGAAACAAAACACAGATGACCTGCATGGGACATTATCATACCATGCTCGTGGTCAACCCTACTTGTTTTCGACGAGAAAAGAAAAAGTCGCCGGTGCGTAACGTAGAGTCTCCACAAATGTGAAAGACCCATTCGGCGATGTAGTTTCATGCGGTTCTGCAGAGTTCGCTTCGGCCTTTCTTTGGAGTTAGAAAATAAACACAACTTACGTTTTATACTTTACCAAAGATTGAATTGCCAACGACCAACGCGCGCTTAGCACTGCCCCATAAACTGTCCGAGCGAATGGGTCTTTCATATTGTTGGAGACTGTATGTATGCTTCAGAAGTTACGCGCTCAGCAGCAAGGCCACGGCAATGGGCATTGGCCTGACGCCCACGCGAACCATGTGTGCACGCAGCATGTCAAATTCACTTAGATCGGGTGCGTTGTTCACTGCTCTTGACTGTTCTTCGTTTGAAGGGACTGGTGATGTCCCTTACCGGAGTGGCCCTCCTAGACTTGGTGGAGATCTACGAGTCGGACGTGAAGACCGTGTCACACCTTACCACCACACGCAGCGTGGCCGTGTTGGCCGGTTCCTTGCTTGGTATGTCCACAATTTCGGCGAACATTTGTGAGAGATGGCTAAACTACCTGTCGTGATGATAACATCAGAGCGTTTCTTCCGGATGTCCGGCGTCCAGCATGCACTCTTTGTCTTCCGCGGTGCTTTGACTGCTCGTGCGCATTCGAAGCTCGCAAGGTGCCGAACTGTTATCGAACGACAGAAGCTCGCGCTGGAGGCGGGGCAACAGAAACACCTCCCCGCCGTTCTCATTCTGTCACTGACTGTAGACGCAAATTCTTGTAACGCCGGTGTTCGTGAAAACTGGGCACGAACCTGCGCCACCGGCGCCAGCGGTTGACGCGCCCAGCACGGTGATGAACTGCGAACTTTGACCGGGGCATGATGTCCGCAACGATAAGGTTATACATCGTCTGCTAACTTTTTTTAGTGCGTACGGAAGTGTAGTGAACAGTGACACTTAAAACAGTTGGCATGCTACCTTCCGTGTGCTCTCGCAAACAGCTGTATTTACCGAAAGATACCGCAGTTCAAAATCTTCGCAAAGCGGCAGTTGCTTATATGCTTATATATGGCAGTTGCTTAAGATGTTTATTTTCTTCTTTTTCTTATAGTGCGTTTGGTTGTTGCATTTATCTGAGTGATTTTTTAACGCGATAGCGTTGAGGAGATCGAATCGCAGAACAGCCGGCATCGGTGGCGTGGCACAAAAGCAGACGTGAGTGCCGTGCGAAAATCCTAATTGGTCGATAGAGTCATGATGCCACAGCAACATGACCTCACGCGTGAATTTCAAACAACCCACAACGCTCACATGAAACGTGATGTCACGCGTGGAATTATAGTGATCAAGAAACATGACATGCAGTGCGATTCGAAGGTCGCCGCATGTCTCAAATGATTTCACTTTATAAAGTAATTCATTTGCCTCAAAGAAAAGTTCGAAGAACTTTAGGCGGCCTTCGAATCCACGACCCTTCGGTGACAAGCCAGACACGCCACTGACAAGGCCGTGTCCACAGCACTTCCTGTCCTGCTCACCGGCAGGAAGAGCGTGAGGAGTGAATGAGGAGGCGATGTGAATGGGGACCCTATAACGCTATGGCGTTTCACTGTTAAAGGCGAAGCTTAAGCGTCCTCCAAGTTTTTATACGCAATTTCAAACGGCTGTTCAAGGTTGATCGGAAACATTACTCCTACAAAAAAAAAAAATTAAAAAAAACCGACAAGCACGAATCTACGTCAATTTTTAAATGTAGGCCTACTGCTCGTCTATAGGCCCCGCTGCGATTGTTTTGGTAGTTCCCTGATTCCTTCGGCGTAGAAACCATTGACTGCGTGACTAGAGTCGGACGAACGTGTCCGTCCAGTTCATTTGTCACGGCCTATCTCCCCTTCGCCAGACTGTCAACACCATTCGTGAAATCTTGTACATGACACTGATCGTATTCAATACTGTACTCGCAATCTTCGCAAACGTTTCTGCTGGTTTAGTTCTCTCCTTCCTCGTAAATTTTAGTATTTATCGCTGCTACGAAGATACAGATACATTAATCGCTGCACTCATCGCTGGAACTGCGGCGCGTGCGTCAGATATATCACTCTGAACGCAGGATCTTCAAGAACTACGTAAACCGTTCAAAAACTACGTCCTCCGTAAATTTCCCCATGCTACATTTGTTTAGGGATTTCTTATGAACCAAAGCCCGTTCAACTTTGTATTGTGTTTTTCTAGCACGTTTTATTTATGTACATTGTGTCCACAAAAAAAAATGCATTTTTTTCCCACCGCAAGTCAAAACTACTTATTGTCGAACGTTCATTCTCCGCCCAAATGCAGCGCTAGAGGTTCGAACCACATGCCAAAGTTTCAGCCCGAACCGACATCGCGTTCATAAGTTCTGAAATTTTGTAAAGATTTCGATGGGAAAATGGGGCTCATTTTTGGCCTTTTTAATTTTCTGGAGACATAGAGCACCATGTATTCCAGAGCTTCATCGGCCGTCTTTATACCATTGAAATTTTTAGAAAATAACTTATATCTTTTGAATAAGATATCGGTTCGGGCTGAAACTGTGACATCTGGTTTGGACATCTATAAAGCTCGCATCGCCGAACGCTCATTCTCCGCTCAAAGGTAGCGCACCTTTGAGCGGAGAATGAGCGTTCGGCGATGCGTGCTTCATTTTTGTGATGAAAAAAACTCGGTACATTTGTTTCTGAGGCACCTTGCATTATATGTTACACCACAGTCCATTGTTTTTTTATGCACCGAGAAACTGAGAGAGAAAAATATGAGGAGACGAGAGGCGCGCGGGTACGCAAGAACGCCGAGCTCTTTTGGAATGACTTGTAAATACACCCAAAGTTAGCTGCCTTTGTCTCCAATGCACTCGTCGAACGTGTTCAAACACGAGAGCCAAACGCCGGACGCGGGCGTTCCGCGTTCTAAAGGCTCGTTCACATAGTCCAGTTCAAATGCGACTGCCACCACTTGCGCCTCGGTAAGGCTGCTTGCATCGAGCTGTTGCTATGGCGACCCTTGCGTCGAGACAGTGGAGAGGCGCTGTGCAGCACGTCGCAACGCAGCGCAACGCAGTCGATGCAACTGTGCGAACGACCCTTAACGCGTTCGACGACTGCAGTGGATACAAAGGCTTTAGGTCTACCTACTAATCATTCGAATCAGATCTCGGCGATCTGACGTCACCTCTTGTCTCCTCCTCCCATTTGTTCCCCTCAGTTCTTCGGCACATATATGCACAAAACGAAACACATGATGATGATGACGACGATAATGATGAGAAAATTAAAAAAAAAAAACACTGAGGCGAGAAAGGTAACATCCCCGTCGTCTATACTATGTGTAATCTGCCTCAAAATCGATAGACGGCTCGAAGTGTTAATACATTGGTCCTACAACTAATATTACGGTATACGTACCCGATAGCGATACGTTGCGTGTTCAAGGGCACCGGACTGATAAGAACAATGTGCTAGAACTCCCTATTATCCGCCAGCCTCTCTCTTATCGCAACCAGAGCGCGACACGGTTAGAACAATAAGGACATAAACGGTATCTTTTTTTTCTGTTTACATATCACCATTAAAAGGTATAGTACATATATATTTTCATTTTCACTTCGAGGGCCGTAGCAAAAAAACATTCAGCCCCTCGCAGAGAGTTGCAGGTTTCCCTCCTGGTGCAGTGAATTAAAGTACACTTGTGTGTCCGTTAAGTTCACTTATTTGTTACTTCATCGAAACATCCCCATATCAAACATAAAGGAACATTACTGTTTTTCTTCTGACAACCAAAGCTTGTCAGAACTAGTTCGCTCAGCTATGCATCAACTACGTGCAAAACATCTTTTTTTCTTGTTGTTGAAGTGGCAGCGACTATCGTAAATATAATAATCAGTGTTGGGTAAAGGACATCTAAAGTACTTGAAAAAAACAAAGTAAATTACAGGTTATGTATTTCAAGTAAAGCAGTAAGTACACCGGATGCAATGCACTTGAAGCAAAGGAAGTACTATAGGCTTCCTGCGTTGCCCAGGGGTAGTGATGCGAAAAGAAACTTGTAAGGACTTGTTTCAAGAATGCAACGCCTTCGCCAAGGCGCGGAGGGGTGAGCGGAGCGATGAGTTGACGCCACCTTACGGCGGCCGCGTCACGTGATTCCGAGATGGCAGCACCCATGCGACGGAGGCTGAAAAAGTCTATGCCCTAGCGGTGCTGGCGTGAATCTGGAACTATCGATTGTCTTTCGGCGTTGAATCTAAGTGATTTCGGATGTCGATTGGTGTTTTCCGTTCTTCAGCACTACACAGAAAGAAAAAAGCTCAGCAAAGACGCCACAAGTAGTGCAAGGCCCAATCAGATAAGCTTTTAATACTCAAAATGAGGGCGCTCCCGTTTGTTCAAAACTTCAGTGCAGGGAGCCTATAAATACATTCTATTTTCAAAGTAAAGTATAAGTGCCTTTTAACACAATATCTCGTAATGCTCTTTCATTCCCATACTCATTTTTTCTAACAGGTATGAACTGAACCAGGGGTAATCTAGGGTGCATCAATTCTTTTCGGAAATGGCTCAAATATTGGATAAAGTCAAATGGCCACACAGTAGTTGCGTTATCCTCGGTGACGAACTATTTAACACAATCAACGTAAAAGGCATTTACGTGTATCTGTCTTGTAGCCGCCATTACTTTACCCAGAGAAATGACCAGATTGTCCTAAAGGACAATAGAGCCTTTTGGTATCAAGACACACCTTTTTTTAAATTCGGGGAATGTACTCTGAAGTCAGGAGTTTTACTCTTCTCGAAAGGTACCAGAAAAAACATACTACAAGTACAGTACAAGTGCATGATCACAAAATGTACTTCAAGTAATGCAGAAATTGTCTAAAATGAAGTGCTTCACAGCTTTGATAGTAATGCACACATCGTGAGCTCCAACTATCAGGGTTAGATTTAGTATTTGCTAATGATGTGTCCGCGACGTGTCGCGCAATGTACCGGAAGCAAGAAACTATGCGGGCATTATCAGCAACGAATGTTTGATAATTAAATACAGTATTGTCGTTTTTTGTTGTTGTTTTCTTTTTCCCAGGAGCAAAGTTGTACGACGCGTACAACACGCAGGTGATATCGATCTTAACCATGGTGGCGTCCTTCGCCACGGTGTTCATGATCCCTCTCAGCGGACGCCTCGCACTGGCACACGTCATGGTGTTCGTCTGTGGTCTCGGCTTCGGCGCCTTTGACACAGGTTGGCTCACTGGTGTTTTTTGGTTTTTACTTTGAAATCTTCTCTTAGTTAATCGTTGTGAGCGCCGAGATGTATCGGGTGGATTTTACTAGTCGCATTTCGTTTAGTGGCCCAAAAGAAAGAGGGTACAAAGCCAGAAGCCTGCTTTTCGGTACGAAAATTTGAAATTATAGCGAACTATTTCGTACCCCATTTTCCTTCGAAAGCTCTCCGCCCTTTCACTGTGAAATATGCGCGGTACCCAAAGCACGTCAACCGGCCGCAACTCACGTATCGGACGCGAGCGCCCCGTCACTCGGACGTAGGCGCTCGTCAACAATCAATTCGTCACCGAACGTTTATTCGCGCACGTGCCAAATAGGTGTCATGACAGATCATATCATCGCTTGTGAGCGACAACTACCACGGAATACCTAAAAAGCACGGTGGAAGCTGAAACACATAGTATCCAGTGAAGAAATACTACGTCACGACCACGTGATTTCTTGTGACATGGTAACCCAGGAGCGTAAGAAAAACTGGATGGACAAAACAAAGCTCCAAACAGAACTTCTGGGTTAATTATCATGTCAGTATTAACATGGACTTTGTGTTGTCATTCCCGTTTTTCCCCCGCTCCGGGGTTACCATGCAAGTATTGAACCAACTCGCCTGCACACTTGCTTTGGTTCCAATGATTGCTTATTCCACTTGAGTTGAGGAGGAAGAAGTTGAAAAATCATTTCATGGCCCCCTTAGCCGTGGAAACATTGTCTACACATCATGCAAAAGACAGGGTATTTGCTGCAGACATGATCATAGAATTTTCTGCGAACATATGCCTCAAGCATATTCGAAGTATGTTTGCTTCATGCATAAGCTTGCTTATTCGAACATGTTTTCAGGCCGTTTTTGTATGACCAATGTCACCGGACCAGTCATACACGGAAGAAACATGCCTCAGACAGTACTTCTGCAGCCTCTCCTTTGTATGACGTGTTAGCCGTGCGCGCGTGGCTTTATGGTTTCTATTCGTGACGTCGTCCGTCGGGACCGAAGAAAGCGCAGCAGAAAAACATGGCAAAAGATGTGGTAGTACGAACGGGACACCTTGAAAACGAAGATGAAATTAGGGTACAAGGTTGCTTGACAAACAGGTAAGCCGCTGAAGGCCCGCCGAGACGCTGGTGATAGCATTTTTAATATCGCTTTTAGAGTGAATCGCGGTTTCCCATTTGTGTAATATTTCGGCAGTGCTCGTGCTTAGTGTCCGTAAATCGATATCAGTCGTGGTACCGCCTGGAAAGTCGACCAGAGCGACGCTATACGGAGAGCAAGTCATCTGCTTCTTGAGCAGGAGGTGGTGACGTCAGAACTACACCAGGCTCTAATTGGCTGATTGAAAAAAATAGTGGGTAGACCTCAAGGCATTCAGCATTAAGGTCTACCCACTATTGTTGTTCTTTTTTAAAATTAGCCAATAAGAGCCCGGTGTCGTTCTGACGTCACCACCACTCCTGCTCAAGAAGCACACGACTTGTTCTCCGCATAGCGTCGCGAGATGCCATCGGCATCTCGTGAACTTCGAGCGGGCACGCGCTGCAAAAATATGGCGGAAGGCAACGATCACGTGCTCAAGGCCGAACTTTCGAAAAACCTTGTCCTGTCCATCTCATTCTGTCAGCGACCTGAATACTATACAGGTCGTGGAATTATGTTGCTATTCATTTAAAGACTCCCAACCGAATTCCTGGCGTGTATAGCTAGCCACAGAACGCACTAGATGACTACAATGCTGCCGCTCTGTCTTGTTTCTAAAGGAGGACGACGTCGGGAGTTGCGCTGTTGCCACGCATTTTGGTTTCCTCTGTTTTATACGCATGCATTCGCAACAAGCGTATACGCGGGCAATCGACGGTACTAGCAGGTGCACGCGCTAATAGAGAATTTAAGCAGATCGTTCCGATAACTGCGATACCGATACCCGATACTCCGTGGCCGCCTATGCGCGAACATCGTATTGTTATCGGGTATCGTTATCGGGGGTATGGAAGTATCCGAACGATCTACTAAAACTCTCCAATGATGGAGCAGCAAAAACATTAGGTAGCGGAGTTCTTCCCCCAAGAATGCAATTTCAAATGAAGAATGTTTAGACCCTTGAGGTGTAAACATTCTTCCTGAGTGATTGCTTTAAGGGGTTTTGAGGGGTTGCACCTGAGGGGTTGTTTTAAGCAATCCCTTGGGTGTTGAAATTGAGTAAAATAAAGGCAAGGCACAATGAGGGCGCTGTACCATAAATATATAACATACTGTAACCGCCTTGGAGTACAGCGTCGAATAACTATTGCCAAGAGCAACCTCAGAAACGTGATTCTTGTGGGTCCTTCTTGTTTTCGTGTGTGATGTGTCTGCAACATGCAAGTTGTAATGATATGTAGGCAGCGCAGCCACGGGAGACTCGCGGGACATGTCTAGCTAGAGTGCGTTCATCTCACACACATGCGCTTTTGCCTAAGTGGTGACATATCAACCATTTTTGTGGAAGATCGCCATCAACACGCACTGAATAGGCATGCTCTCAGCTATGTTCGCTAGTGCATACCCCTTATCTGTACTGGAGTCCATAATAACGAGACAAAAATGCCTGTATTTAAAAAATTCGTTCACAAAATAGTTATTCATAGTCCGGATTGCGGGTTTCCGGATTGGGGATGAATCGCATGGCTAAAGATCGGTCCCCAAAAACGTTCGTCCATAAGGCCGGGTGTCCATAATAACGGTATACAAATTTACGAGACATAACTGTACATAGCTTTTCTTTTAGAGCGCAGCTGTAAAGCGCCCGTTTCCGGGTTTCGCGGCGTCGGCGTTGCCGTCGGTGTCGGCGTAATTTCGCTAAATTTAGCAGGAAAATTGACGTAGCGTGACCTCAACACCAATTCAGTTTGGCAGCTAAATTAAGCGGGGAAAATGACATTGTATAACTTTGGTGTCACAACCCTTATACAAAAATTCAGTTTCTCTGCTATATTTGGCCTAAAAAATGATTTCACGCGACCTCAGCAATATTTCAGTTTCTTCGCTCAATTTAGCAGGGAAAATGACGTCATATGACTTGGTGTCAGACTTGTACGTAACGCGTTACAAGTAATTGATTACTTGTAATCAATTACAGTTAAGTGTAATTTTGTAACGCTTCAATTACATTTGTCAAGCTGTAACGCTCGGAGTAATTCAATTACTTTTTTTCTGTAATCAATTACAAAATCAATTACACAATTACCAATTACATTTTTCATCCCACAATTTTTTTTTCTCACAAAAATCAGCATAGTCACTCAGCCATGGAGCAAAAATGATTGACATTTTTTTAACATCTAAAAAAAATAAAACTAGGATTAGTCGGCAAATCCTTTTTTCTTTTACGCCACGCTCTTCTACAAGCGCGCCACCAGCCTTGGCTGGGGAGTTCCGGATCTCGTTGCCGATTGCTGATAAAGTCGACGGGAAGCGGGAACTCGCTATTGACTTTTTAGTGGGCTTTGTTCCTTAGGTCGACGCGTCAGCTACACGACAAGGTCCGGGTCTGAAAACAAAAAAGGGAACAATAACCAAACAAAATTGTGTACGCAATATTTTACTGTGTATTTCTGTCATCGCAATAAGAAGTAACGTGAAAGTAATTTGAAAAGTAATCAATTACTTTGCAGTAATTGTTCAATTACTTCTGGGAGGCAGTAATCAGTAACGGTAATCGGTTACTTTTTTGACTGTAGTAATTGTAATTGTAATCAGTTACTTTTTTTCAGTAACGTGTACAAGTCTGCTTGGTGTCACGTATCCTATGAACAAATTCAGTTTGTCCGCTAGATTTAGCGGGAAAATTGACATCACGTGACCTCAACAGCAATTGAACAGCAGTGACCTCTACAGCGTGGAATTGAATTGCTGTTGAGGTGACGTGGCGTCAATTTTTCAGCTAAATTAAGGTGGGAAACTGTGGAAGGGAGGGGAGGGTAAAGAGGAGGAGGAGGAGGAAGTACAAAGGAGGAGAAGGGGCAGGTGCGGAGGAGCAGGAGGAAAGGAGGAGGAGGAAGAGGGAGAAGAAGTAGGTGAGACGGGGACAGGAGGAGAATGGAAGGAGGAGGGAGAAGGGAGAAAAGGAAAGGAGTGGGAGGAGGATAAGGAGGAGGAGGAAACAATGGGAGGGGGAGAGGGTGCGGGGAAGAGGAGGGGCATACTCTCCCCTCCGTACCCTCCCCTCCTCCTACTCAAGAGATGTGCTCTAATTTCGCGTTACAGAGATTTAAAAACGACTCATTTTTTTCGTCTTCGCTTCGCTTCGCCCGTGGGGACCAGCTAAAGATCTGAAGTGTTTTCGCGTGCACAATACAAGAAGTATTAAGTTGGAGAACTGGGCCAGTTGGTTGACGTTATTCATGATGGGGAAAACAGCTCAGAAAACACTGACTACGAAGAGGAACACACGCGACAGGACAATGCTGTACTCGCAACTGAAGAATTTTAATAAAGGAAACAAAGACAGAAAAACCATACACGGTATCTTAAAAGACTGCACAAAGAACAAAGGACCATTCTCGCCAACCGTGAAGCGTGTCAATAAACTACCCGTTCACTACGTGACTCATGTTTGCCGCAGGAAGGAAATTTCTTTGGCTGACAGCGCCAATGACGCTTTACTTACACAGGAATGACCATGACACAGAATGTGGAAGGCCTCAATGATTTTTCTCGTCACCCTATCCTTGTGCGCTCCCGGAACGGTGACTCTGCCAAAGTCAGGCCGACACTGGCAATCTCTGCAATGAATGGGCAAAAGCCCCCCAACCGTAGCTCCGAGCGAATATGAGTGCTCACGTAATCTATCATTCAGACATCCTCCTGCTTGCCCCACGTACCACCTGTTACACGACAAAAGTATTTTATATGCCACACACGAAACACAAGGGACCAAAGGTTTTCTGTGCGCCTTGGCGCACTTCGCGCTGGAACGACCAACTATTCCCGCATTAATCCTGGAACATATCTGACCTATTTTCTGGGGCGCCGAAAACACTACCGGAATTCCATATTTGCCACCAACTTGTTTCAGGTTATGGGAAACGCGGTGGAGGTAGGGGACCACTACCACACGCTTTGTTTCTCTTTCCGGCCTCCGACCTCTCCACCCCCTTAGCTTTCTTAACAAGTGAAATGGCTACTTCCGCCAAGAGTGTCGACGGGAACCCTGACTTTTTCAATCTACTAATTTGTTTTCTAATACTTTCGGTCATTTTGTGGGCACATGACTTTTCCAGGGCCGACCCAAGGCATGACACCGCTATGGACCTCTTAATCACCTTCGAATGGGAAGATTTAAATTCCAGTATCGCCTTTTCGGAGCGCGGGCAAAACGATTAACATATAATGTTATCACCCGGGTACATCGTCAAATCAAGGAACTGGAACTGGGAGGCGATACTGGATTTTAAATCTTCTCATTCGAAGGTGGTTAAGAGGTCCATAGCGGTGTCATGCCTTGGGTCGGCCCTCAAAAAATCATGTGCCCACAAAATGACCGACAGTTTTAGAAAACAAATTAGTGGATTGAAGGAGTCGGGCTTCCTGTCGATACTCTTGGCGGAAGTAGCCATTTCACTTTTTAAGAAAGCTGAGGGGGTGGAGAGGTCTAGGCCGGAAAGAGAAACAAAGCGTGTGGTAGTGGTCCCCTACCTCCACCGCGTTTCCCATAACCTGAAACAAGTTGGTGGCAAATATGGAATTCCGGTAGTGTTTTCGGCGCCCCAGAAAATAGGCCAGGTATGTTCCAGGATTAGTGCGGGAATAGTTGGTCGTTCCAGCGCGAAGTGCGCCAAGGCGCACAGAAAACCTTTTCCTTGTGTTTCGTGTGTGGTATATAAAATACCTTTGTCGTGTAACAGGTGCTACGTGGGGCAAGCAGGAAAATGTCTGAATGATAGATTACGTGAGCACTCATATTCGCTCGGAGCTACGGTTGGGGGGCTTTTGCCCATTCATTGCAGAGATTGCCAGTGTCGGCCTGACTTTGGCAGAGTCACCGTTCCGGGAGCGCACAAGGATAGGGTGACGAGAAAAATCATTGAGGCCTTCCACATTCTGTGTCATGGTCATTCCTGTGTAAGTAAAGCGTCATTGGCGCTGTCAGCCAAAGAAATTTCCTTCCTGCGGCAAACATGAGTCACGTAGTGAACGGGTAGTTTATTGACACGCTTCACGGTTGGCGAGAATGGTCCTTTGTTCTTTGTGCAGTCTTTTAAGATACTGTGTATGGTTTTTCTGTCTTCGTTTCCTTTATTCAAATTCTTCAGTTGCGAGTACAGCATTGTCCTATCGTGTGTGTTCCTCTTCGTAGTCCGTGTTTTCTGAGCTGTTTTCCCCATCACGTACTATCGGGGAAAAATGAAATGCGAACAGAGGAGCGCGTGGCTCGCGGTACAGGCTGCGCCGCCTGGAATTGAGCCTAGGAGCGAGGGTGCGTCGCCTACTCCGACGTGTTCACGCCCCTCCCTCCGCGCTCCCCAAGCTTCAGCAGTGTGCCTCTTAGTGCGCTGAAAGCTATCACCGCTATCTTTGCTGGCTCAGCGCGTGCGGTGCAAAGAAGATCGCCGCACTCGCCGAGCAGGCAAAGATAGCGGTGAAAGCTTTCAGCGCACTAAGAGGCGCACTGCCGAAGCTGGGGGAGCGCCAATCGAAGGGCGTGAACACATCGAAGTAGGCCACGCACCCTCGCCCCTAGGCTCACTTCCAGGCGGCGCAGCCTGTACCGCGGGCCACGCGCTCCTCTGTTCGCATTTCACTTTTCCCCGATAGTACAAGAAGTATGTTGGTGTCGTCGACTTTTCCTTGATATTTTCGTTGATTAGAGGGCTCTCTTTTGAGGATCCTGAATATTTAGAAAAGGGACCTCGGGTAGGATTCATTTAGACCTAGGGTTGGTGACCATGGAAGGGGGAGGCACTTGAAAAAATAAGGCTGGTTAATCAATTAACTAGTATTTGCTAAACTAATTAATTAATTTTCACAATTTCTGTATTGGGGGCGTAGTGTAGGCAGAATAGTTTCGCTCGATTCCCTTATGGTCTAGCCATGACGAGAATTAGGGGTGAAAAGATTCCTAGCTGGTCTTACAAACCGAAACAAATCATGCAAAGAACACCAATGACATCCATTCCGCTCTCTTGCACCGGCTCCGCAACCAACGTCTCTACGCGCCGCAGGTGACATCAGCAGTGATACGCAAGCGTCAAACGGAAATATCAAAATGTTTCAGCACGTATTTTTTGCCATATTTTAATGTTCTCACGGCATTTTCTTCAACAGTTATATCATTTAAAATTGTTTCTTGCAAAATACTATAATGACATGTGTTGCAGGAGCCAACGTCTGGATCATCAGGATGTGGACCAAGAACAGCAGCCCCGCCTTGCAGGCGTTCCACTTAGCCTTCGCCGTCGGCTGTCTGGTGGCTCCCCTGATAGCAACGCCCTTTCTATCCACGCTTCCAACGACGGACTACGAAGCTGTTGCAGAACCCCTCATCGCGTTCAACAAAACCTCCTTCCTCCAAAGCCATGCCAACCACGCCATCCTTAACGACACCCAGAGCTCGAGTCGCATGGAATCGACGATCCAATACGCTTTCGGCATCGCCAGTGGCTTCTACCTCCTCCCCATAATTTCTATGATTGTGCTATACTGCATCGACGGCAGCGACTCCAAGCCGCCAAAGCAGAGCTCTTTGAAAGACGCGCTGCACCAGAAAGAAGCTGCGAAGGACATCCGCTTCAAGAGGATCCTCTTGACCTTGTTGTCCATGTACCTCTGCGTCTACGTCGCGCAGGAGTGCACTGTGGCGCAGATGATTACAGCGTACGCGGTCAAGTGCGACCTTCATCTGCCCAAGTCAACAGCGGCCCGAGTAGCAGCCGTTTACTTCTTATCCTTCGCGGGCTGCCGGATGGGCTCTTCGCTGCTAGCCATCAGGGTGACGCCATTCCAGATGCTTCTAGGGTCGCACGTCATCTTGGCCGGTACGGCGACCGTATTTCTCCTATGGGGCAACTCGTCCAAGACGGTACTTTGGGTGAGTTCGGCGCTTCTGGGGTTGGGGCAAGGACCAATCTACGGCGTCATTGTCGCTTGGACGGCAAACTACATGGACATCAGCAACGGTATGATGGCACTGGTCATCGTGGCGTCCAGTTTGGGAGCGCTTTCCCCACCGTTGTTTGTCGGGCCATTCCTGGACCACGATCCTCCGGTCTTCCTGTACGTCTGCTTCGTGACAGTGGTGATGGCGGTTGTTGTGTTTCTGGTCATGTTGGTGTTCGTCAGGAAACGATCCATGCTGAGCAGTGTAGAGGACAAGCTTGGAAATGTAAATGCCGTGAAAGCCGATGATGCTGTTTCATCTGACGTAAAGAGTGTTGATATGTAAGGTTACTATGGCGATGGACACCAAGTGTCAGGGGTTTATGTTAGTCATTTATTCGCAACTCTAACGCTGTATAGATGGCGAGGCGGTAGTCCTATAGTGGCGCCATAGGCGGGGATAGACACTACAGGATTTCTCGTGCCCCTGCTAGCTGACGCTCTTGAGTGTGGAAAAATTAATTTATTAGGCTATAAATATAAAACCGTCAGGGCTGGAGCATATGACAGGTGACGAAGATGTTGATGTACGTTAAGAAAATGAGCATTATAGTAAAGAAAAACAACAACATTGAGGCTAGGGACAAACATTTTGGAAGTTTCGAAGCGCAAGGTAACAATTTCAATATCAACGCACTCGTTTTTATCTTGGTTAAAGCTGCATGAAACGCGATTACGCCGACCATAACCACGTGGCTACGGCGACACACAAGGCCAATATTCCCGGCCTCCGCCTCGGCCGCCGTCCACGCTCCTCTGGTTCTTCGTAATCCGCGAGAGGGCGAGCGGCGGGCTGCAGTTGCGAGTATTTTTGGCTTTTTGTGTTTTCCTGCTCGGGGCATGAGCCTTACCGGCGGCGCTCTACTATAGACCATTCCATTTAGAGCTTTATGGGCGGCGCCATTTTGCTCGACCGTACTGCCCTCTCCAGCCATCCGGGAAGTTCAACAGGTTCGGTGGGGTAAAACGAGAGTGCGGGCACACGCCCGATTTTGCTAGCAGACGACAAACCGGGAGGTTGCCGTTCTCCATCTTTGGGTTATAGGCTCCTTGCACTGACGTCACATCGCACACATTTGAACACCAAGTAAAAGGAGGAGAGGGAAGCTACTTTTGTAAGAATTTTGAGTGACAGGTTAATCTTCTATAATCTTCTGGGTAATGTCCCTGAATAAGAAAGGTAGCGGCACCTCCCTCCTCCTCTGACGCGCACATCTTTATCTTTGTGTTTTGCTCTTTTACACCCACGCGTCGATTGTAGCGCCGCCTGGATCGCTCCAAGATATCAGACGGCCTTCCTATACTTTAGTCAGAGCACAGTCAAAGGCTGAAAGACACACAAAATACATACACACAGGCTCAAAAACGCACTGTCATGGTCTACCAGCCTCAAAGAATGTGCTCAAAGAAACATGGTGAAAGCCGTGACGTAGCACAGTAGGCGTTATTTGATTGGCAACATGAGCTCGTAGCTTGCACTGCACTCCGACAGCATAGGCATTCTTTCTCCCTCATTGTCCCTCGTGCACTGTTATTGTTATATTTTGCTCTATCGCGCTCGCGCGTCGACGTTAGCGCCGTCTGGATCGCTCCAAGACAGCAGGCGGCATTCTTCAAAGGATGTCGCTACTTTTCCTTATACAGGGGCTTTACTTCTGGGAGGAGAATGGCGACGCCTATAGAAATCCGGGAGGCACAAAGGAGGATACTGATAAGAGGGGAGCTCCTTCTTCCCCTCTTCTCTGGAGGGCAACGGAAATGACGTCTTGTGCAAGCCACGTATACCGACGGGCTGTACCGAGCATCAAACTCTCGCTTGTGGCTGCCGTTGCGAAGTGGTTCGCGTTCTTAGAATATTTTTGGCTACTCCAAAATCAGCCTATTGCATCCTGTTCTATTATTTCAGTAAATGATCAACTAGCGTATCTTTGTTTCGTTACTTCAATAAGGGAGTCAGCCAGCAGTACTGCCCTCAAACACTGCGTCTATTGCGTCAGGAGAAGATGTTTTTATTTATGATTACGGACTTCCACTCATTGTCACTAAAGGCCTACACCATTACGAACTTTGTACAGTAAAACAACCTACAACAACCGGATTTACTTTTCACCGGACAGACCTACCGACTCGGACACAGTTTTTCCGTTTCTTTTCTTTATTTGCACGCAGGTAACAGCGCAATTGGAGCCGTTTAGTCTTTTTATCGAGGATAGCCTTACATCATTACTTGCATATCAAAATTCGTGCATCGCTGCGCTTGAAATTTCCAAAATGATGCGATTTTAAACCAAGTTAAGGCACCAGCCGGATGTTAGGTTCAGCCCACTCGGCGGAGCAGACGACAAGCGGGGTGAGAGGGAGAGGGCATTTTTTCTCTCTCCGCTTTTCCTAGTGGAACGGTCTATAGACCATTCCGAAAACTGGCTTCTTGGTGGTACCACGTTCAGCGTTCCAACGTATCGCGCGTGCTTTACTGGCCTTCCGAAGCGACAAACAGGCAATCTCGGCTGTGAAGATTTCACACTGGGCTGTGAATGTCTGAATATTATAACGATGTATAGTTACTGAAAGGATGAGAACGGCAGAGCGTTTCTTTCGGATGACCGGCCCCCAACAGGGGACCGTTGCCATCCTCTGCGCTTTGACTGCGCGTGCAGTCCCGAAACTCACGAGACGCTAAAGTGTTAACAAATATAGGAAGCTCGCTCTGGGGGCGGGACAACTGAAAGACCTCCCTGAGGTTCACATTTTGGCATTGATTATAGTCACAATTTTAGGCCTTGCCATTTTGCGCTGGAAGAAACCTCTCGATTAACTGTAATATGTTGATTTCTGCAATTAAACAGGACTTCTTTCGCCTTGTCTTTCTACTTGATTAATATTTGTTGTATGTCATTCCAGTAGGACTCTGAAGGATGCACATTAGCCTTCGAGGCCTTAAAAGGTAAGTGCATATTACCATACCCCAGTTGGTAAGTGCACATGCGATGTTTTTTTGTTTTTTTTTAATGATAAGAACATTCTGATCTTATCATTAAAAAAAACAACATCGCATGTGCACTGCCTCGTTCCTCTCCCGAGGTATCAAGCGTCCTCCCAATATCGCACAGAGGATTATTATTAAGAAAAACGCCATGTTATAAATGATAAAACACTAACACCCGCGGGTATCATTTGATACACGAGTTAAATAAGTACCGAAGATCACGCTAATACAATAGCATTAAATGATAAAACGTTATTAATATCGGGACCTCCTGATATTCACAGACGCTTCAGTCAATAGTTTTTCTAAGCGAGCTTTTTGGGGGGGTCCTGAAGAAGTGCTCTTCTTCAAGGCCCCCCAAGAGCACTTCTTCAACAGTGCTCTCAGCAAAAAGGTTGACTGCCAATCTGGTCTATTTGATGACGTTGACAATGTGGTGACATTTATTTAAAGATATAAGTTGTAAGCCATCTCGGTTAACTACAATGTAAGCACATGAAAAGGAGCTTGCATGAATTATTTAACGTACCCCATCTCCCTCCTAAATCTGGAAATTACTCAACCGAAATGTATCAATTACTCAGCTTCTACTAGCCACAAAAGTGGCGGCCAGTAGATGTAGCAATATGCAACAAAGATTCCACTGTTTTAAAAATGGTGGTTTTCACATACTGCCATAGCAAGAGAGCCTGCAACTAAGCTACGTTGTTAACACCTGATTTGGATTGCTAAATATTTCATGAAATATAAAGTCAAACAAGGAAACCCTGTTACCATGACTATTTCAGGGAAGCCAAATCAAAACAACAATTCCGAGAAGCATTAGGTAGCAAGAGATCACCTGCTTGGTAGTGTTCGGAAAAGCCAAATTCCACAAACATGAAAAGGGGCACTCAGTTTAAGGATGGTACATGCTCGACAGTTTATAATAATAGTGATAATAATAATACTAATAAATAATAATAATATTAATAATACCACACTTTATATGATAAGGAACGTTAAGGTTAACGATTGGTGCAAATAATAATAATAATTATAAATCTTTATTTAATGTGTCCAAAAACAACCACAGTGGTCTTCACTATGATACACACGATAAAAAAGTTAATGGCAAGCGAACAAACATGGCCGATCAAGGGACAAGATAGCATAAAATTGACCAGTGGACGAGATGCACGGAAAGTACGCACGCTAAATGGTTGCCGTGTAGTGTCTTAACTTTTTTATGAAAACGGAAATGTCACTGAATGTGTCAAGGCTAAACAACGCGCTTCTTTCGAACAAAGTCTGCAAACGAGACATTAGCAACACACTACAAATTGAATGAACGTAGAAATAGTAAAATCTCTAGTAAAACGGCAGGGAACGTGAAAATTAATACTTCCCAAAAGCAAGTCTCGAACACCCCATTCACAACGTTGTACAAGAAAACTAGGTCGCGTTCCAGCCTTCTGCTTGACAAGGGTACGACAGAAACTCTATTATGAATAAATTCATAATTATAATAAAGGCGACGTCGGATGTGTCTATTATATACTATGCGTATCAGTCGTATGTAGTCGTTGCTTCTTTATCTAAACGTATTTCAGATACTCTGGACAAAATATATTCAGTTTGTCAGTTTCAAATGGTGCTAAAGCCCAGTTTAAAATCAGAAAGGGGGAATCCCGTCCTTCATTTAATGAGGATTATTTCCCAGACCTGCAGAATTTGATTGAGGATAAGTGGAGACTGCGAGAGGCAGTGGCAGAAAAAATTACTGAGGCGGAAAATGATCTTATGTTAGGCTTTGGGCATATGGGGTTGCCAATGGAAATATTTTGTTTGTGAGAAAATCTTGCTCATCAAGTTAGTGGCATGCCCAGCTATAGAACCACATTTATATATTTTTCAGCACGCTGTGGAAAATAAGTTTGATCCTGGAAATCATATCTGGTAGTGATTTAGGAGTGCTAATAGGTGTAATTCCTACTGCACAGAAAAAATATTATTTCATGCAGGTGGTTATGGGCTTGAAGTATTCTCACCTGGCAAAAACAAATGTTAGGAATCGTTGCTTGGTGCTAAGATTTATTCTTGCTTTCAGCCGCAACCTCTTTTGACTTTTTGAGTAGCTGTTGACGGCTACACACGTTGGTGCAGTGTCCAATGATAAAATTGTGCTTGTAAGCTGTTGCTTTAATATCAGTTTTACCCTTCTTATCCGTATCACTTTTGACATTGTCAGTTGCTTTGGACAGCTTGGCGAGGATATCAGGAATGCTTTTCAGTCACCGTGCTGTGACATCGGAAATTGA